TAACATGCTAACATCCTACAATTTGTCTAACCCAGTGACCTTCAAATTTATAACATTTAGCTTTGTGTATATATAATTCAACCAATGGCCAAGTAGTATTTAAAGAGTAGCCAGGTACAAAAGTCAGCCAAGTGTTGGTTGAAAAGCTGAGCAAGGATTTGAACACTGGTCTCCTGTGGCCTAAAATGGCTTAGTAGTTTTTTTTGGGGGGGGGGGGGCGGTTAGTGAAAGGGTAAAATTTAATGTTTAGGGTGTTCGCAGTGTTCACTGGATTTAGCATATATTGAACATACTCAAAAGTAGCTATTAAAGCTTTCAACATCCCCAATGTAATATAAATTGTAAAGGCATTTGGAAACAAGATTTAAAAGCATGACCACCTCTGCACCCCCAACGCCACAAAATGTTATGGAAGAGCTGTGCAAAAGAACTGTTTTCTAGAAAGGCTAGGAAGATGGTTTTCTTTAGGTCTCCAGTAATGAGAATTTCGCATTCTTTCCTGCTACGCTGTTTAACTCCTATTTTCTTGCCTCATTTTGGAGAATTTTTTATGAATTTTAACTCTGGCACACTATTTCTAGTAATTGCTCTTTTACATGGAATTTTAGTTAAGATCCCATTGTCAGTTATCCAAATTGTGCACTATTTCTGGATGAGATTTAAAAACTTTCAAGAGCCCTCAAAGTTTTCCTGTACTGAAAATGGTTTTATGAATTCATTTTCATTGTGCATACTATTGTGTGAGCCTCTTAAATAACTCAGTACCTTGTTGGTATATTAAATTTGAATAGTGTCAAAACCAAACAACTGGAGTTTCGTGCCCTGGTTGCTTAAGAGAACATAGCTAACCATTGTCATTTGCTGACCTCCCAGCTATCTCTTCTAAACTGCTCCTTACTCATTATCCACCTGGCTACCTAAAAGCTACCCTTTTAAAAGTGTCTAAAACCTTGATTTCTACACAGATGCACACACCCCTACCTCTTTTGGGGCTCAGTAAGTGTAAACATTTCTTTGAGTTGCACTGGCCCAAAGCCTAGGCATCAGCCTTGATTTCTCACACTTCCAAATTAAACAGCAATCCTCTCAGTGTTTTTTTTTTTTCAGTTCTACTTTTCATTTTTACTCAATCTACTTATTCCCTGTATTTACTGCTGCCACCATGGTAGAAAGCTCCATCACCTCTTGGATTATTGCAATAGCCTCCTCAGTGGTCCTCCTGCTTTTTTACTTTGCAGCAGTCTGTCCCACACACAACACCCAGAATAATCCTTTTAAGCCACATTACATGTCCTCACTGCAAACCTAACCGTTTCCCATCTCATTCAGAGTAAAACCAGAATTACTAAGGTGAACTACAAGCTGTAATGACTTTTCCCACCACCTCTGCTTCTTTAGCATACTCTGCTCCACCACTCCCCAGCTCCCTCAGCTCAGTCTCACAGGCCTCTGATGAGACTTGAACATGCGGGACTTTCATCTTAAGATGTCTGCCCTTGTTCTTCCCTTTGCCTGGAATTATCTCAGATGCCATACGGCTCCCTCTTCCCTATAAGTGTTCAAATGTCAAACTTTAATTAGAGTGGTTTTTCTCAACTATTCCACAGGAAATACCAACAGCCCTGCCATTGTAAAGTGTGCCATGGCATATTCAATATTATCCACCTTGCATGTAATACTTGTTTCTTCTTCAACCCTATCCCAGAATGTAAGCTCTGTTAGGGATTTTGTCTGTTTTGTTCTGCTATATTCCTCAATGACTAGATGACTGCCAGGCACATTGTTAGGTGGCCAAATATTTAAAGTCTAAACGGTGGACTTTACCAAAAATATTCCTTGCTGTATTTTTAACTCCAAAAGTGCAAAAAAGGAACCCTACAATATACTATAGAAAAGTAGTTCTCCCTTACCCACAGTCTTAGTTACTCGTCAACTGTGGTCCAGGATCAGATCATCCTGTTAACATCATCAGGAGGTCAATAGTAGCCTAAGTATGTCACATTTACCTCACTTAATGCCATCACGCAGGCATTTTATCCTCTTATATCACAAGAAGGGTGAGTACAGTACAGCAAGATATTTTGAGAGACCACGTAACTTTTCTTATACAGTTATAACAGTATATGTTGTAATTTATTTTTGTTAATCTTACTGTACCTAATTTATAAATTAAACTTTATCATAGGTATGTATGTATAGGAAAATATATAGTATATAGAGGGTTCAGTACTTTCAGCAGTTTGAGGCATTCACTGGAGGTCTTGAAACATACCCTTCACAGATAAGGGGGACTGATGTAATGAATGGAAGCTTCTTTACTCTCTGACTACTGTAAGAAAAATAGCATCACAGTCAGGAGATGGACAGTTCAGTTTCCATTAGTATGGATGATTATGCTGACCAACTCTCCTGTAAAAAAGCAACTAAAGATCCTGAGAAAGGGGCGCCTGGGTGGCTCAGTTGTTAAGCGTCTGCCTTCGGCTCAGGTCATGATCCCAGGATCCTGGGATCGAGCCTCGCATCAGGCTCCCTGCTCGGCGGGAAGCCTGCTTCTCCCTCTCCCACTCCCCCTGCTTGTGTTCCTGCTCTCGCTATGTCTCTCTCTGTCAAATAAATAAATAAAATCGTAAAAAAAAGATCCTGGGAAAAACTTTTTTTTTTTTAATGTGTCTATAATCAGTCAAGAAAGGAGTACTCACAAGCCAAAAACAAATTGAAGCCAGGAGCCCAAAAAGAAAGCAGAATATAACCAGAAACCCAACTTTCACCTCAAAAACACTTGAAAAACTAAGTGAACTGTAATTTTTGTGACCCTGGCGAAGCCCAGAATGCATCCAAAGAGTGGTGTCAAGTGAGAGAAGTCCCTCCCTAATACGTACAGTGAGGAGTCTGCATCTCTTGAACATTGGTGCTCTGTGGCAGGAGAATATTTTCTCAGAATCTGCAGTAATAGGCCTTTGTGAAGATTTGCAGCCCTAAATCTTACTACTTAGGTGGTCCCAGAAAACTCAAGGAAAATATCTTTTTAGAAAGTAGATTTAGGGGCGCCTGGGTGGCTCAGTCCTTAAGCGTCTGCCTTCGGCTCAGGTCATGATCTCAGGGTACCGGGATCAAGCCCGCATCTTGCTCCCTGCGCAGCGGGAAGCCCGCTTCTCCCTCTCCCACTCCCCCTGTTTGTGTTCTCTCTCTCACTGTGTCTCTGTCAAATAAATGAATAAAATCTTAAAATATATATATATTTATTTTTAAAAAATATTTTTTAAAAAGATTTGATTTTTTTTTAAGATTTTATTCATTTATTTGACAGAGAGAGACACAGCGAGATGGAACACAAGCAGAGGGAGAGAGAGAAGCAGGCTCCCCATGGAGCAGGGAGCCTGATGCAGGGCTTGATTCCAGAACCCTAGGATCATGACCTGAGCCGAAGTCAGACACTTAATGAATGAGCCACCCAGGTGCCCCAAGAACACTGAATTTTTAAAATAGTTCCAAATCAGAGCAGCCAGGTACTGGCAGAAGCCAAACACTCTGCAGGGACTCAGTGATAGCTCACAGGTACATATCAGAAAGAAAAAAATATATACAAAGGAATATAGCATCATGAATGGGAGCCATGTGACCTGCAAAAATTTCAGATATTAAAATTATCAGGTCATCAAAAATTGTAAAGAAAGAAGTAAAACTATATATTCACAGATGACATGATACAGAAAATCCTAAAGAATAACAATTTAAAAAATTACTAGAGCTAAAAATGGAATTCAGCATAATTACAGGGTACAGATATCACAAAAATCAATTGGTTGTAGTTCTATAACTAGCAATGAACAATCTGAAAATGTAATTTTAAAAAAAATTCCAGGGACGCCTGGGTGGCTCAGTCGTTAAGAGTCTGCCTTTGGCTCAGGTCATGGTCTCAGCGTCCTGGGATCGAGCCCCACATCGGACTCCCTGCTAGGCAGGAAGCCTGCTTCTTCCTCTCCCACTCCCCCTGCTTGTGTTCCCTCTCTCACTGTGTCTCTCTCTGTCAAATAAATTTTAAAAATTAATTAATTTAAAAAATAAAAAAACTCCATTTAAAATAACATCAAAAAGAATAAAATAGGAATAACCAAGGAAGTGTAAAACTTGTACACTGAAAACTGCAAAACATTTCTGAAAGAAGTCCTAAATAAATGGAAAGACATCTTGTGTTTGTGGATTAGATTTATTATTGGGAAGATGGCAATGATCCTCAAAGCAATCTACATATTCAATGCAGTCCCTATCAAAATCCTAATGACTGTTTTTTCAGAAATCGATGATTTTAAAATTCATAGAGAATTGCAAAAGAGCACAAAGAACCAAACAATCTTGAAGAACAAAGTTTGAGGACTCATACTTCCTGTTTCAAAATTTACTGCAAAGTTACAGTATTTAAGAGTATGGTACTGGCATACAGATAAACATACAGACCAATGAAATAGAACTGAGAATACAAAAATAAAGCCATACACATCTGCAGTCAATTGATTTTCAACAAGGGTGCTAAGACCTTTCAGTGTGAATAGTCTCTTCAACAACTAGTTCTAAGACAACTGGATATTCACATGCAAAAAAAAAAAAAAATGAATTTGGGGCGCCTGGGTGGCTCAGTTGGTTAAGCGACTGCCTTCGGCTCAGGTCATGATCCTGGAGTCCCGGGATCAAGTCCCGCATCGGGCTCCCTGCTCGGCAGGGAGTCTGCTTCTCTCTCTCCTGCTCCCCCCTCTTGTGCTCTTTCTCTCTCTCACTCTCTCTCTCAAATAAATAAAATCTTTAAAAAAAAAATGAATTTGGACCTCTACCTCACATCACATGCAAAAATTAACTCAAAATGGATCAAAGTCCTAAATGTAAGATCTACAGCCATAAAACTCTCAGGTGGAGTACATTTCATGACTCTGGATTTAGCAATAAATTCTTAGAAATGATACCAAAAGCAAAAGCAATGAAAGAAAAAATAGGTAAGTTGGACTTACCAAAATTATAAGCGTCTGTATGTCCAAAGACAGTATCAAAGTGAAAAGACAACCTACAGAATGGGAGAAAATATTTGCAATCATATATCTGACAAGGGTCTAGTCTGCAGAATATATCAAGAATCTTTAAAACTCAACAAAAAGACAAGTAACCCAACTTAAAAATGGGCAAAGGATTTGAATATTTCTCTGAAAAAGATCTACAAATGGCCAGCAAACATATGAAAAAGATGCTCAACACCGTTAGTTATTAGAGAAATGCAAATCAAAACTACAATAAGATACCATTTTTTATCCACTGGGATAGCTATAATTTTTTTTTAACGGAAAATAAGTGTTTGTGAGGTTTTGGACAAATTGGAACCATTTTACATTGCTGGTGGTAATGTAAGATGACGCAGCTTCTATGGAAAGCAGGTTGTCAGTTCCTTAAAAAGTTAAACACAGAATTACCACATGACCCAGCAATTCCATTCCTAGATACATACTCCAAATAATTGAAAACAAATTCAAACAAATGTTTGTACATGAATGTTCATAGCAGCATTATTCACAGTAGCCAAAGGTGGAAACAATGGTTGAATGAACAAATTGTGGTATATTCATATTATGGCATATTATTTGGCCATAAAAAGGAATGTAGTACTGATACATACTACAATGTGGCTGGACCTTGAAAACACACTAAGTGAAAGAAGCCAGACAGGAAAAGTCACATATTGACTTCTGAGGAAGATGACAGAGTAGGAGGACCCTAAACACATCTTGTACCATGGATACAACTAGATAACCTCCACATCAGTGTAAATAACCAAGAAGATGACCCTAAGACTGGCAGAACAGACTCTCCACAGCTAAATGTAGAAAGGTGGCCACATCAAAGAGGGTAGAAAGGGTGGAGACACAACTGGGAGCTAAATGGACCCACAGGACTGTCTGCAGGAGGGACGGATGCCACGGAGAAAAAAGGGAGAAGAGCAGACCCCACACCAGGCACCGCAGTCATGGAGGACCCACACTGGGAAGATGAATCCCCATACCAATTGGCCTTGAAAACCTGAGGGCCAAATTTCACAAGCTCTTAAAATCAGTGAAACCTAAAATTTGGAACTTAAAAAATCAGCAGGCCAGTGGGAAAGCTGAGAGGGCAGGAGGAAACTGAGTCCCAACCCTTCAAAAGATAGCACAGCAGTCTCACAGAGACAGAACAGAGAAGCAGTTTGAAAAATGCTTGGGGTACACAGGAGGGAGATTTGTTTACTAATCTCAGAGCATGTGCTGGAGGGGCAGGGATCTTTGAGAGATTTCTCCAGGAACAGAAGAGCTGAAGGGCACCTTTTCCCTCCCTCATCCTCCCCCCATAAATACACACGCCACCTGCAGGAACCAGCATGTTGCCAACACTCAACTACCTACCTTGCCTCCACTCCAGGTCCCTTCCCCCATCAGTAGTACTGCATCTCTGGCAAATGCCTGGTCTGACTCAAGCCCACAGCAGCCCCAGACTGGCCCACCCAAAACACAAAGGCCAAACCCCGCCCAAAATAGGCAAAGAGAGCCATTGCTGATAACCGGACTGAAGGCAAAAGCAGCTCAGTCACAACAGCTGGGTGCATGCAACACTCATAGGAGACATCCCTGAAGTGAGTTTCTGGTAAACAGGGGATATTGCACTGCAGGGCACTACAGAACCTCTTCTTCATAAGGCCACTATTGTCAAGAGCAGATGACATAGCTGACTTTCCTAATACATAGAAACAGACACAGACAGACAAAATGAGGAAACAGAGGAATATGTCCCAAAAGAAAGAACAGGACAAAATCACAGCAAAAACTTAAATGAAATGGAGATAAATAATAGGCCTGATGGAGAATATATAGTAATGGTAATAAAGATATTCACTGGACTTGAGAAAAGAGTGAAGGACCTCAGGGAAACCCTTAACAAAGAGATAGAAAACATAGAAAAAAAGAATCAACCAGAGATGAAGAACTCAATAAATGAAATTTAAAATACACTAGATGGAATAAATAGTAGACTACAGGAGGAAGAAGAATGGACTAGTGACCTGAAGGAAAGTGTAATGGACAGCAATCAAGCTGAACATGAGAGGAAAAAAAAAACGAAAAGAACGTTAGGGCACTTAGCAATATCATCAAGCCTAATAACATTCATATTATAGGGATCCCAGAAGAAGAAGAGAGAGAAAAGGGGGAAGAAAATTTATTTGAAGAAATAATAGCTGAAAGCTTCCTGAATCTGGGGAAGGAAACAGGAATCCAGATCCAGGAGGCACAGAGAGCCCCCAACAAAATCAACCCAAAGAGGTCCACATCAAAACACATAGTAAATAAATGACAAAAAAGTAATGATAGAGAATTTTATTTTATTTTTTGAGAGAATTTTAAAATCAGCAAGAGAAAAGAAAATAGTTACATTCAAGGGAAACCCTATGACTACCAGCGGATTTTTCAGCAGAATTTTGCAGGCCAGAAGAGAGTGAAATACAAAGGATTATAAGAGAATATTATGAAAAATTATATGCCAACAAACTGGACAACCTAGAAGAAATGGATAATTCCTAGAAACATATAATCTGCCAAAACTGAAGCAGGAAGAAATAGAAAATTTGAACAGACCAATTACCAGCAATGAAACTGAACCAGTAATTGAAAAACTTCTAACATTGAAAGTACAGGACCAGATGGTTTCACAGGGGAATTCTACCAAACACTGAAAAAAGAGTTAATATCTATTTTTCTCAAATTATTCCAAAAAGTAGAAGAGGAAAGAAAGCAACCAAATTCATCTATGAGGCCAGCATTGCCCTGATACCAAAATCAGATGAAGACACTACAGAAAAAGAGAACCATAGGCCAATATCTCTGATAAACATAGATGCAAAAATCATCAACAAAATATTAGCAAACCAAATCCAATAATCATTTTAAAAAATCATTCACCACAATCAAGTGGGATTTATTCCTGGGATGCAAGAGTGGTTCAATATTTGCAAATCAGCCAATGTTCCTATATGGCCTACACACAGCTTCCTGTGTCCTGGAGTGTCATACACCAGAACCCACTTCTACAAGCCTCTGCACAGCCTGTGTGCATCCCACCTGTAGTCCAGGGATCCACATAGAGCTGCCACTCCCGCAAGTAAAGTAGGTTACCTGCAAAGAAACAATAAGTAGATCGACTCAGGAGCAAAAATGAAAGACTTCTCAATAAATCTTGGAAACAGAAGATAGTGGAATATTATCTTCAATGCACTGAGGAAAAATAACTATCACCCTAGAATACTACACCAAGAAAAAGATCTATCAAGAATAAGGATGAATGACATGGATAAATGTGAAGAACATTACACTGAACAATAGAAGTAAAAAAAACATAGTGTGCGATTCCATTTGCATGACATTCAAGGAGAGACAAAATTAAACTATGGTGATAGAAATCAGAAAAGTGGTTACCTGGGAAGGGGTGAGGAGCAGAGATGGTCAGAAGGAAGCACAAGGAAACTTTCTAGGATTAAATGTCCTGTTTCTTAATGGGGGTAGTGATTACACAAGTACATACATTTGCCAAACTCAACTGAACTGCACACTGTGATGGTTGATTTTTTTGCGTCAACTTGACTAGGACACAAGATGCCCAGATAACTGGTTAAACATTATTTCTGGGTGTGTCTGTGAAGATGTTTCCAGAAGAGATTAGCATTTGAATCAGTAGGCTAAGTAAATCAGATTGTCCTCCCTGATGTGACTCAGCATCGTCTAAACCACTGAGGGCCTAAATAGAACAAAAAGGCATTGGAAGGGAAAATTTGCTCTCTGCCTGACTACTTAAAGTAAGACATGGGTGGGTGTTCTTCTTCCAAGGCTGTTTGAAATACAAATATCCTTTACAAGATAGTCCAGAACAAAAGTATCCAGTGCCTCTGCTCACAAGATGTTCAAAAATATGAGATCCATGGAGAATTGTCCCCCGGTATTTCAGAACAAATTGGTATGTGAATCGTTTTCACTGTAAAAGTTATGATATTGAATACAGATCAAAAGTTAGGATTCAAATTGAGATGTACTGTAAGCACAAAATTCACAATAGATTTGGAAACCTTACATGAAAAAAAGAATGTAAAATATCTCACTAATAATTATATTCAACATGTTAAAATAATATTTTGTATATATTGGTTTAGATAAAATGTATTAAAACTAATTTCACCTGTTTCCTTTTACTTTTTTTTTTTTTTAAGGGATCTCTACCCCCCCTGTGGGGCTGGAACTCATGACCCCAAGATCAAGAGTCATGCTCTCCTGAGCCATGCTTTTTTTAAAATATGATTTTTAAAATGTGATTACTAGATATTGTAAAATTACTTATGAGTCATACATTATATTTCTATTGAACAGCTCTGGATGTCTAATTTTTATTGGACGGCCTAGAATGATCAAGGAAGCTAATGAATAGAAATTGAGAGAGAAGATTGTCTTTGTTGGAGTTCCCTAGCAAACAGAGATGGAGGCAAAGTTTTTTTTTTGTTTTTTTTTTTTTTTATTTATTTGAGAGAGAGAGAATGAGAGAGAGCACATGAGAGAGGGGAGGGTCAGAGGGAGAAGCAGACTCCCTGCCGAGCAGGGAGCCCCATGTGGGACTCGATCCAGGGACTCCAGGATCATGACCTGAGCCGAAGGCAGTTGCTTAACCAACTGAGCCACCCAGGCGCCCGATGGAGGCAAAGTTTAATGTTAATGTTTTCTTTGGGAGGTACAATCCCAAAATAGTGAGAGTGTAGGAAAAGGGAAATGAGTCAGAGAAAGTAGGAAAGCACCTCTGGGCAGTTGCTGGGAATGTCTGATTCTAGCTTCTGTGGCATGGTGCCTCCTCTGAGATTTAAAGTGATGACAGGAGCCAGAATAACCATGGGACTGATTTAGGCCTGGGTCCTGGGGCTACTGAGGCTCATGGAGGTTGCATGCTGGGTTGTTTTGATTCTACTGGGTTACGGTCATTGTAATTTCCCAATGACAGTTAACACTGGGCATG